TAACATTTCCTCGTTTCTCTGCTCTGTCAAAAGGAGTTACCTAGGCTTTTTTCACGTAACTGTCTCATTAAAATAAAAATAAAAATATTACATCTAGAACAAGCACCCAAAACACGTAACAAGAAGTCCCAGTTCAGTTGCTTTCACGATACAAGTGTAATACAGCTATTAGATTTGAAGTGTCGTTCAGAATGTAATAATAGTTAAAACTAGTTGTATGTTCACACTTTACTATCAAAACCACCATTTCGACCACCCATGTGCCAGTTTTCAGTGTTTGGGCGAGCGGTCAATGTTTTCAATGAGCGAGCGAGCGAAAAAAAAAACGCGATTAAAATGCGGTCGGTTTCCGGTCGGACAAGACCGCGTGGTCGGAAATTAAGCGATAAGCGGTCGATGTAAAAGCGGAAGGTTGGGCGAAATGAGTACTGTATGACCATGTTTCTCCGACGAAGTCTCGACTGACATTGTTTGCGACTGGAAGCTTATCACCCGTTATATCAGAATCGTCAACAACAGAGTATACAGATAAGATGTTATCATTTAATTCCTTCCAAAGATAAACACTATGCAAATATCCACGAAACGGCAGTTGTAGTCTTTTCTGCTAGTGTTTTAAAACACTAATTTGAGCAACGTTATTTCGTAATTTCGATCTTTTGTAAACTTGGGGTGATGTATCAAGGTCTAAAGTAACCGTTTTATCAATTTTTGAAAAATCAAGAAAAAAGTGAAAATTTCCCTTCTCGCTACCTTAAATGTAGTAAATAGTATATATACGGATACCGTTAAGCTGAGGGACTATTTTATACAGAACGCTTCAAACTACTTCCTTGTTGAATGATACAAGCGCAAAAAGGCTGTTTCAAAGTGTATTTTTGCAGGTGTTGCACACAGGTGAATATCATTCCGCCTTTTTTACATCGTGCATAATACGGCTGATAGTTTTGATTCGTATGCTGAGTTTATCTATGTCCAAGCGAATTCTGGCCAGATCATGAAGCCTCGTAACCCGAGCGTATTTGTTATATTAATCCTCGCAAGCCAATTTGTCCGGGAAAGCGATGGGAGCCCAACTGTTGAAATCGTACTTCGTGACAATGGATATGAAGGCATTGTAATCGCAATACACAACTATGTCAAAGAAGATACACAGCTGATACAAAAGATACAAGTATGTATTTTACAATAATTTGTAATACATAATTTATAGTCACTTATACTACTCAATCTACAAAGGTGAAATTAATTACGCGCAATAACAAGTTATGTAAGTGTTTTCGGTCGCACATATTACACAACGTTTCTTATTTCCGTAATACGATAGCCTTCCATTGAAAAATGTGTGTTCTTATGAATACAATGCAGCTTTTGTAACTGTTATGTTGATATTTTTTGTAATGGAGAGTTCCAATCTAGGTTACGTTTCATTCTATGCATAAATTACAATAGATTAGATAAAGAATACACTTTATTATACCCCATGTGCAAGATCATCGCGTTGATTGGACAGAAGACGGACGTGTGACGGTCAATAAATCACATTTTCGAGTCAATAATGAAAACCTAGTCGCCTCAATTTCGGTTTTGAAATGGCATCTGAGACTCCAATGTTAGATTTATGTGTTTACAAAACGTATAATTACTAGTACCTCAGTATCGGTCAATCGTATCACACTTATCAAACCTATATCACGATAATATTTTATTTAACCTTGTTCATTTTTTTTTTTCGTTACCATACCACACAGGACACTTTCACTGCGGCGTCGGCATTTCTATACACTGCTACCAATTACCGTACTTATTTCCGAAATATCACACTACTTATTCCTCTGAGCTGGTCGAACAAACCTGAATATGAAATGGCAACATTCGAGACATTTGAGAAGGCTCCTATTGTTGTTCAGAAACCAAATCCCCTGCACGGCAACGTACCATACGTCAAGCAGTACGGCGATTGTGGTGTGGGTGGTGAACAGATGCACTTGACGCCGGCTTTCTTCAATGATCTAACTATTCCAGATAATCAAGGGCCGCTTGGTGAATACTTATATTTGTGTTGAGAGATTATTTGTGTGTCTCTAATATTATCATCAGATTCAAATAATTTATGTTTCGTTATTACATTCCTGTTTTAAAATAATTGCGTCATGTGTACATGTGTGTATGTTTGTTTAATGACGTTTCACACCATCTTTGTTTGCTCTATCAGACAGAGTTATAGTGCATGAGTGGGGTCATCTACGATGGGGACTTTTCGACGAATACGTTACTGACGTCAATCAAAGCTGGTTTTATATGCACAATGGAGAAATTCACCCAGTTGCGTGCAATTCAGAAATACAAGGAGAATGGTCACCGTCTGCTGCCTGTGAGAGACGTGATGACGTCACAGGTCTGCCGCCACCAGAATGTAAATTCATACCAAATCAAGACCAATCGCAGCAGGTAACTGCATCTATAATGTACGCCCAATGGATTAACACGGTGAGTACGATGTATTCCTCGGGGTAAGGGGGAGATTTCTGGCATCACAGTCGTAAAGAAAACATGTGATACATACATCGTTATTCTCTACAAAGTCTGACGCAAAGTGCTGTCAACCGTCAAATAAATCAAAATCAAGGTAGTCATAAACAAAACAATTAGAGCAAGTACCCTAGCTGATATTATAAAGTAGATACATGCGGGAACAACACAATAGCTCACTCTTTACAAATTCAAGTTTGGTCGAACAGATTGTATTTCATACCGTGTTGTAATCGTTAAGTTATACGATAATTTTTGTCATTATACAAGATCGCAAGCTTCTGCAATAACAATTCTTCGGAGCCGCACAATTATCACAATAAGATTCCTGAGAACAGACAGAACAGACTATGTCAAGGTCAAAGCTCATGGGAAGTTATGCTACAGCACGAGGATTTCAAGAACAATGTCAACCTACCAAGACTGATGATAGACACCACGCCTACTTTTAACATTGTCAAAACTGGTAGGAGAAGAGTTGTTCTTGTACTGGATACTTCCGGAAGCATGGCGGTAGGTTGTCATGGAAAACGTACTTATGATATACTGATGAATCAATTATATACCACTCTTTTAATTGTGTCTATTATTATAAGTATGGTGTTTATTACTTTGTCGGCATTAAACGATTCTTTGGCCGCATTTACTAGTAAGCGGACTGTTTCAAATCTAATTTGTTCTTACAAACATTACAAACATTCTCTCACTTTAAAAAAATAGGAAATTGGTTTGAGTAGTAACACCTTGATTCAAATTCACAGCAATGCAATACGTTGCGAATAAACCCTCATCCGTACTGAGAATGTTTGGTTATGTGTGTTTATACTAATACTGTTCCCATATATTCCTATATCAATTCCACAATGAATGCGATATACATGTATGTTTTGTACGTATGTCTACTAAGGATTCCCAGTTTCAAGTTATAGTTTTCATTAATACAATGTTGAATGATGCATTCTATCACAAATCACCTGCTCAGCTTATTCATGTTATTGAGACCATGCATGTAAATGAGTATTTTTGAGAACAAAAAACAAACAAACAGTAAACTCAAAGAGCGGTGGTCGCTGCGCCACGCATGCGTGAGATGGCGACTTTGACTATTGCGCAGATCAAAGAGTACAAACTGAGACGTTACCAAGCTTTAAACTACTATTGTTTCAGGTGATTTAAATGCATTGAAGGAATCACCGGCTTTAATTAGTTCAAGTCCTGTCCAGGTCAAAACTCGTACTTGTGATTTCCATTAGTAGAGCGCATTGAATTGTGGGAAAATTAATGTTTATCAACACAAATGCCGCACATGCGCGGTGCGACGACCACTGCCCTTTAACTATAAGAAAGTACTAACGAAGGTTAGCGGACTGTTATACAGTTATCAGAGTTATATATACATTGATAACAAGTTTCACCTAATATAATATTCAAAATCCAATCATCCATGACGCTAGTTACTTTAGCATGTACGATCATCATCGTGTAGTTAAATAGGCGCCTTTATGACATACGACCCAAGGTCAGGATTCAAACTGTTTCTATTGTTGGGCATTGGTATGGATATTTATTACCCACTACTTTCAGTGGTACTTGTTGTCACCCACAAGCCTTTGAAATGAACTGAACAGGTCCTGCCATTGTACATAGTAATTTTATTTTGTTTGCTTTCCCCCAAGGGCCGAATTCTTTCACTCTTTGTATTTATCCTTATATTTTATTTGCGGCATATGCACGTGCAGTTGTTTAGCGATTCGAATATAGCCGACTTGAAGCAATTTTGTTTTTTGAAAATGTGGTATTGACACGAAGTTGAATGTTATTTTGCTCGAAAAATCATCTCTGTGAAAGACACTCAATTATACTTGTGACTGTACTTTCTTTTTGCCTGTCAAAACAGAGCCACAATGAACCTCTCAATAATAATAACCTGATTGGAATTCACAACAGTCATAATATAGTAGATACAGGATGTAACGTCATGTAAAGAACACGATATTAGGATAAGTTCCATGGTCTTTGTAGTCAGTCAGCAGCGTTCTCCATCAAGATTATCTGACTCCCAAAAAGGTCATCAAACAGCACGCTGCTTATTGGCTTGATATGTTCACATCGCATGTTATTGGCTTCCATAATTGGCCCGGTAAAACTCTCAGATCAGCCTGTATACAACATGGCCAGAGTTTCTTCATAATTAGCAGGGATAGCCCATGACCTCTAATACATCAGTTACCAAGAAAAGACTGCATCTGCATGTGCTCCCAATTCCACTGACGTTTCTACAGGAGGAATGCAAAAGTGGCGACAAAGGTTATATCAAACTTTTGTGCTAGTAATCAGATCAATGACCTTGTCTCGCCAGTTAGGCAATGATTCAGCCAAGTTGGTTTCCTATACAATTTTGCAATGATTCTCAATGTCCTTCAGCCAATTTTTATACAATTTGGTAGTGACTCTCTCTATTTTGCGAATACGACAATTTCTATAAGCTCGTGTTTATAAACTACAATGTTTTATCAGGAGCATGCATAGGTGGCATCGTGGCGTACGTATACACAATAATCTTCTTGCCTGGCTGTATAATCACATTGTCTAGAGGCTGGACATATATAGGTAAACGTAACAGACTAATTGTGATATATTTTCTGACACTGGATGCTAGAAAGGGTGGCATTGGGTAACTTCATAACAAATAAGCTTGTCTTTCAGTGATTAACTGTCGTGATTTACGTCAGCATAGACTGGTGGCGATGCAGTTAGCATTACAGCTTCCTGTGTAAACTTAATTAATTAATCGGGTCGTGTGCCAGGCGTAACACACTACAAAGCTGCCATCATCCACATGTTTAGTGAAAATATCCAAGCATTTCCATATATTCTTTGTTTTATTACATTGTTTGTATTTTTCTAGCTTAAATTAGGCGCAATTTGTTCGACAGTGAATGCGATATATTTGGATTTGGTATCATAACATGAATAGACATATAGGAATGAGAGACGCCATTAGTATATGGGAAATTAGTATTCAAATCTATTCATATTTAACGACGATTATAATGTTATGAACTACCATCATAAAGTCGACTTCAAATATCATTCGTTGTACTTATAACTCTTTTACCAATATGTGTTCCAACAATCCGCTGAATTAATACAATACAATTATAATACATAATTTATATGATATACTACGATTATTATTATTATTATTATTATTATTATTATTATTATTATTATTATTATTATTATTATTATTATTATTATTATTATTATTATTATTATTATTATTATTAATTATATATAAGCTACTAGTATATAACCTGTATGTTTCCTGTAGGGTAATCGCATAGAAAGATTGCACAGAGATACAACGCATTTCATTCTAAATGTAATTGACGATGACAGCTTTGTTGGCATAATTCAGTTTTCATCTGATGCCACTGTTCTTTCTGAAATGAAAAAGATTGATTACGCATCTCGACCGCAGATAGCTGCGTCTGTACCATACAGTGCTAATGGTGGCACCAATTTCGGTGCTGGAATAAGAGCTGCCTTACAGGTAAACACAAGTAGTCACATGTGTGTTATTTATTTGATGTAATTTTTAAAAAAATTAATTAAATTTAATTTTAAATGTATTTTCTTGGATACTGTGACATATTTGTTCATTATTTACAACTGCTGACACAATTGTTACTTATATCAGGAACTTAAGGAAAGCCAGTTGTCATTGAAGGGAGCATCGTTGTTGATAATAACAGATGGTCAATTCTCTTACACCAGCGATGTGACTGATGAGGTGTATGCTAGTGGTGTTAGAGTGGATACCATTGCATATACACAGGCAGCTGAAGATAGTTTGCGTGTCTTGTCTGATAGGACTGGCGGGTCATATTACTATGTATCAGACGATGAAACTTCTACAGAGTTACTGGACTCCCTAACATCAACCATCACAGACAGACCAGTGGACAATTATGAACAGATTCCTATAAATGTGAGTATGTCCAACACTTCTGAAATAAATGCAAATTGGGCATACATCATACATTAGTTGACTAGTTATGTCGGTTACTGTTAGCGAACACTGTTATAAAGTGCAATGTGGTAATGAGTATGTTTGCCCTTTGATACGTATATCAGCAGTATTTCGGAAATAATATATCGAAATTATCCAATCTCCCTACTCCATCCCAACGAAATCACCCATACAAGGCATTTGATAAGTTAGTTTATTGAGTAGTTAAACAATGCAAACTGAGTAAGTTATGTTCAATTACAAACACTATTCACACGTATCCCATGCTCGAACGACGACAAGGTATAAGTACAAAGGTAAAAGTGAAAATGATCATTAGTTGTGAACAGGAATGTCTAATCTGTAAGAGTGTTTACAATTCGTTTCCTTTTTGTTGCATTATATTCAACAATGTTTCACAAAGAAAAGCATTACAATAATTACACAATTTCCAACATCTGTTAGGGCCATAGCAAAACACAATTCTCTCACAGTCTTCTCCTCTCATAAATAATAATGAATCCCACCCCAAAATTTCTTCTTGGCTGATAATGATATTTGAATATTTGAGCCCACTAAATAATCTATATTTTCTTAACATTCCTTAGTGAGCGTTATCTAAAGACTTCATGTTAATATTATTTTTCACTAAAACGGACCTAGGTCAAGTAAGATACATGGATGGTAGTGAATAACAAAACCTGTGCCTTCATTCTCTTCAGATAGCAGATTTTGTACTCGATTTGAGCAATAATAATGAAACTGGGAGTCTCTTTGTTGATTCAAGTGTTGGTAATCATACCGTCTTCACCTTTACATATTCTGTAATACTTCAAGAGGTTCGACTCACATCACCGAGTGGTGATATTATAGATTCAAACGCTAATGAATACGTGCTGTACGAAGAATTGAAACAAGTTTGTATTACTATACAAGGCATCGCAGAGGTAAGCCACATTTGAGCCTTAGTGTACTTCTCAACAGTATATCATAACACTTTGGTCATACAATTATATGTTTTAGAATGTACAACGTCTATGTTGATATAATTATATTACAATATCAATATTTGGCCAAATACAATAACAACGACATTGAAATAGTTGTATATGTATGTGGTGTAATTGCTACTGACACAGGTTACTGTTTACCTTATCATTCAAGGCTGGTTCATGGAACTACTATATCTATGTGACAAATTCCAACCAATTAGTGACCATCACACTGAAGTCTCGAATCACAGACGTCACCAATGAACCAATCAAAGTTAGAGGGATTCTCGGGAGATCGTATCTTAATTACATGGAGGACCCAACTCTGGTAATATATGCCGAGGTTACGAAAGGTGGTATACCAGTCATGAATGCTGACGTGTTAGCTACAGTGAACAGACCAACAGGGGGGCCAAAGGACCTCGTTCTGCGTGACAGTGGATCAGGTGAGAGTAAACTTTAATTATCTTATTATCTTCAATCGTAAGACTGAATTGTGTTGTTTTACATAGTATGTTATTTACGTTTATATTGCAGGTGGCGATATTGTTAATGGTGACGGCATTTACAGTGCTTTCTTTGTAGACTTTTCCATTTGTTCATACGATGTTTGTACATATGGAGTGAAAATAACAGCTACAAATTACAACGACAAAGCTACGATTAACCAATATGGAATATTTAGTTCAGCTTTTCCAATCAACCCAGGTAAACTGAATATTTTTAGTTAAATACAATTAGTAATAAAAACAACCAATAATATATTTATTGCTAACATCCACATAACCTGTTATTTAAATGGTATATTTTACACTGTAGAAAACACCCTCGAAAACGTCACGACTGTTAGTGCAGATCTATTCAGCAGAGTTGCATCTGGCGGCGCGTTTGATGTACAAGATTCGCCGCAGAACGAGGGTGATATCCTAGATGTACATCCGCCATCACGCATTCATGACTTGAAGGTACAAGAAACATCCTATGAAAATAGTTCAATTGTTCTCACTTGGACTGCTGTTGGTGACGATCGTGATCAGGGAAAAGGTACACACTTTGATATTAATATTGGCAAATACAGCAGAAAAGATGGTTTATATAGTTAATTTGCATTGTATTAACGAGTACATAGTACTATTTTAAGACCTGAACCAGTGCTTTATGATATTTAAGCTTTCATTATAACATTGATGATGGACTAATACACATGAAAACTTAAGCAGTGATACAGAAGACCAACCAGCAGGTTGTTGGTTTCAGCAGGTAGCTCATCAATTAGAAATGTTGACCTTAGCAACAATTTCAATACAATGAGCACACCTTTTGTTGGTTATAATAAGTAAGAGCGTGGACAGCTCTGCTCCTGGTCAAGTGAAGGTCAACTTTTGAAAGTGCCATGAATGGTTAATTAACTTAATATTGCCCAATATGTTTTTGCCCAATATTTAGTCATTG